ACCTTGTGGAACGAAGTTCCAGCCAGTGTAGCCCGCGGGATCATTGCAGCACTGAAGCCCGACCACCACGTCAAGGTGGCAGCTTTAGGTCGGGCGAACAAAAACTACATTAAAATCGTCTTCTTTTGGCCACAGTAGCCTGACAGTTAATTGAGGTACGCACCAATCCACTGTATATCAAAGCGCTTTAAAACTGGAAACAGTTTGTGGACATTGTTTTCGACGAAATCGACTTTTCAGTGGAGTTGTTTTCAAAATCATTGCGGCAAATTTCTTAACTTTTCCTCTTGGTTTGTCAAAATATTACTCAAAAAGTCTTATGCACTCACCTCACCGTTCAGCCTTGGTAGCTGTTTGAGACGAACGCACTCTATTGGATTAACTGCGGTCCAAGTGTCCACAACATCGACCATGTGTGACCGGTTTGAAAAAATTGAACCCCATGACATGCTTCAGGTGTACGTCCGCATACCATGACCATTTAATTTACTTGACAAATCAAAGATGTTGTCTGCCATGTGACTCGGTCCTTTTATTCCCTCTCATTCCCTGGTGAACGAAGGCGTTAGTGAGAACCAACACAAATCGCTGATAACTGATTGTGGCGATGACGTTTTCAATCATCTCTGTATTCATTATAATCTTCTGGCGATTCCAAAATGCGGCTGACGTGAAAATACGATATTTCACTCGACTTTTGCGAGCCACAGATGACCTTAAAATCCACACGAAGCAAACATTGCTGCAAGGAACATTAGTCAGTGTGTGCATCCTACAGACCTTGCTGTTAGGCTGACAAACTAACATCCTCAGTCCTCTGTTGGTGGAGCATTATTCGTCTTCAAGTAATGACCTCAACTTTCTTGTCTTCCCTTAATAAATTCATTATTTGAGACGAAAGTCGTAGGAGCGATGGAAGACAGATAATCAGGAAGCTACGGCGTTTCAACTAATTACCACACCCTTCGTTGTGGATGCTGAAAGACGTGGCTGACGGCAGCGTTTATTGACAGTTTTTCTATCTTCCTATGTCGAGTACCTGGAAGAGGTGCCTCTCGGGAAATACCTCAAGGCCTTCTATCTATTGTATCCTTTAGATACATTTAAACCCGTGGTCAATGAGGATTTGTTAGTGACCGTAGGCAAAGACTGTCTTATTTAGTTTATTGGGTTCACCAGATAGGTGAAAACCGATCGTGGGCTGTCGAGTTTTCAGCAGCCTTATTAGTAGTGCTTATCGAGAAAATATGCTGTGATGTCTCGAATATCATACCAACTGAAGCATGAGGTGGCATGTATTCAGCACATTCGGTTGAAGGATGCCACAAACGAGACTCAGCTGAGATTCAATTGAGTCTCCTGTTAAAAAGCAAGTGAGTGTATTTCGAGGATAGTTTATAGGTTTCCCTTTCCTAAATTATAATGTTCTCTCTCTTTCGCTTACAGACAAACGTGCCATCGGATTTCTTCGTTCGGCCTTGTCTGCATACCCTCCGGAACCGCTTCCACTACCACCTGGATTCAGTATTTTATCAGACGTCACGCGACTCGCTGCAAGCGCGGTTACTTCAAACCAAGCAGAATGCAGTACTTCTCCTTCAAGTCACTGTCCATCTTCTCAGCCGATACCGTCGGCTATGGCTACGGGATTGCGACCACGAACACCAGATACTGACCCCCCGAAACGATTGCAAAAGTTGGAGCATTTGAGCTTATCAAACCTGGCTAGCCGCCTTTTACCGCTATTAGCTCATAATCGCCATGTTTTCGGACCGCAGTATGCCGAAATCATCCAGGCTCTGTTACTACCAAACACAGAACCTTCGTCTAGTACAGTCACCGGTCTTCGCTTTCGTTCACGCAGCGTCAGTGCTAAGAAATCCGAGTCAGAAGAAGAAACTTTTGAAATGACCTAGTGGCTCGCGGACCATAGACGAAGCAGGATTTCTAAACCAATCGGCTCGATCCGTCCAACGATCACCAACTACCGGAGATTTACACTAGGAATTATTTTGAACGTCAAAACACAGAAAGTTTCGGAGCTTTGAGGTTGACATGTTTTTGCTGTTTGTCCGCGAACATGTTATCGTACTGTACTTCTTACTTCACTCCACTCATTCTTCCCTTTCGTTCTTTATAGTCAACTTTGCTCGATGTGATATACACACCTTTTTCTAATTTGTACGATTTCTGGTCCGATGGAGGAGACAGACACTGCGGCACTATTAGTCACAATCCAGCTGCGCCCATATTCACTCGTCCACACTTATTTCTGGACAGTCATCTCCTCTTTGGCGGCGCTTCGTGAACCTGATTCTGGTGATGTATCCGCGTTAGGATATCACGTCGAGTTTTTGTCAAAACTCGTGCAAGGTTGCTCTTGTTGCGGATTGCCATTTGGCTTCACATTTCAGTTCCATGAAATCCCATCGTGGGGGATGAGAATCGACTTCCTCCAGTGGCCGATCCATTCACATCTTCCTTTCTTGGATCTCAATGTTGATTAGCATAACTCCTCGTTCTAGATAATTGCCAGTTGTAATAGTTTTCTGGTCCTATAGGGTTTCTGTCTAACGAACCAAAGGTCTAACGTCTTCCGAATGGGCTAAAGCTACCCGGCATCCAGATCGATTGAGACAATCGTGAATCACCAGCGTGCCAAGCAACGCTCACTGTGTCATTGAAGGAGCCAGTTGAAAAGGGTACGATGGATCAGATAAATGACCAGATTCACAGAGACTTCTTGTGCAGCGGTATTTTGGCCACATCTCAACTCCTACTTCCGTGATTTCACGCGCATTTTCATCAGAAGTGACCTGTTCACAAAACCACAAGTGGGCATGCTAAATGGACGAGGAAACTCAGAAACCCCAGATCAATGGTCCCAGCTGTAATCATGTGATATCATGCTGGTGGTGAGTGCGTTAGAATGGAATGTATGAGTGAGGGGATACAAAAATGGAAGGGTGTGTGGTATAGAAGGGGATAAGAGAGAACAGGATGGAGAAAAGTTGGTCCATAGTAAAAAGAAGAATGCCGGTAAACCCAGTTAAGAGAAATGGAACTGTGATGTTCAGCTACCGAACTAACGTAATCAGTTGTCTGCATAAAGGGGGCTTTAAAGAATAAGTAGCAGGAGCTTTGGTGGTTTTAGGGATATGACCGTACTTAGGTGTACATATGGCCTTAAAGGGATTGACACGACGGCCACCGTCGATCAGGTGTTGTATTATCGGACCAAGACCACCATCAGAAACCACTTGTGTTCGACAATACGAGTCCCGGGATGCCTCATACTTCGGTTGAGGTAGTTGGGTCCGCAGCTACCATCGAACTGAAAACTGGTGTTGGCTTTGGTAAGTAAAGATGGCAGGTTTTGAGGTAACTGGCACACACGCAGTTGATCCAACATACTTGAGTTCGGTGGCGTCAAAAATCCGTTTGCGCGCCGTGTTTATACGGCGTTTACCGGTAGGGGACATCGCTTTTGAAAAACAACGTGAGGTGCACCATTTTTCGGTTGACGATTCCAATTACCGAGCACTTTACTATGGGTTTGTAGTAAATCTCAGTGAATCTAGATGAGTACCCGTTTTCCATTAAAATACCTATGATTGGACAGACATTCTGCTCTATTCTATTTGGTGCTGCCGTCGCTTGTTCCCTATTAGTCAGGGCCGTAACTAGTTTCCGTTTTTGGCTGTATACTGTTCAGACCGAGTGCATTCTTTGTAGACGCACCGGGTAGCGTGACATTCTCTGGTCTAGACAGGCCGAGAACGTTTTCTGGTTATTTTTCCCGTCTCTAATACTTAATACTTTTCTGGGATTTGTTTAGTAGCAAGTTAATCTCTTGGACTATAGCTTGGTTTGTGCAGACAACGGGAATCTCATCCACATAAACAACAGGTCCTCGGGTCGGTTTTGGTGAAACTTATTCTAAATGATAAGGAACAGTTTGACAACCCGTCTCGGGAGTATCCCCATTGCAAATGCTCCCAATTGCTTGCCATATACATTTAAACAGAAAACATTTGTTGTGCACAACCTGAATAGATGGCATAGGTCATTGAAATCGGCGTTGTTCTGTGTGGCAGTCGTGAACGACATTCATAACCTCATCAATGAGAACATCAGAAAGGAATGACTCAGTATCAAAAGAAGTCACTCTTGACAAAATCTGTTACTTGTTAGGTTGCCGAAAGCTCTTCGATGACCCTCTATCGGTTTGGCCATTTTTGGGACACGCCAGGCAAACACAGACCCCAGCTCCAACCGACCTACGCCTAGCTGATGATTCTCAAGAAACAACCGGTAGTGCCCTGTGAAAGTCTTCAGCAGACTTACAAAGAGAGTATATCTCGAATGTCGTGCAAACTGAAATACGAGACAACATATTTGGCTGGAGAATACCATAAAAGAGAGTCGGTTGACGCTTTCATTTAGATCAAATGAGTTATTTCGTACAGCCATATCAGTTTATTCGAATAAAAACTTCTAATGGAAAGAAGAAACGAGACAGGAAGAAGAAAACAGGGCTGGTCTACAACAAACGTTCGAGGCGCACACACCAGCACTCACCCAGGCAATCTAGATAGAAACTGACAACAAGAACGCCACTGACATCGGTTAGCCACCATACCCTAGCCAAGCACATGGACCCCATCCTGGAAGGCGAATAGCGCCAAAACGTTTCATAACATCCTTCACTCCTTTCTGCAACGTCAAATCCTGTCTACTTGTAGGTTTCCACCACTCCGAATGAACCACGGGAAGCAGCGCTCGTTTCGGGAGGCGGCAAGTAGCCATGTGTGACATACGGTCCAATCACCTTAGCCTGCAGTGCTAGATGAGTTGTTTCAAGGAATTATCTTCTGCTTCACCAAAAACTCGTCTTCCGGTCACCCTACGAATTCCCTGGTTCCAGCTGATCTTAGCCGTGCTCCTGGTCAGAGACATGAAGATGCCTCAGATTCTCCGCCCGTAGTGGCCAAGTCTCGCAGCTGTAAAGTAGTCTGTTACACGCGTCCTTTGAGAACAAGTGAGATGCCCTTTTGATGCCACAATGGTACGAATTGGCAAACGCAATTTTGGCCTTTGAAATTCGCGCATTCACTTCATCTATCACACTAATGTCAAAGAAGATGCAACTTCTAAGATACATACTATGTTCCACAACATCCAGTATCAATCCTTGAATTTTGAGGATGACTTTGGTGAGTTTCTCAAGCAATGCTTGCGCTTCGCACTCCCTCAAAAGTGAAAACAATGTCTGCATATTCCAGGTCTACAAGATTTTCGCCCGGAGAGAGATGAACACCGGAGTTTCGGAGACCTTCCATTGTTCACCTCATTATCTCACCGACAACAAAAGTGAACGCCACTGCTTGTTTTAAAGAACCTTCCAAACACTCGCGCCCACAAGTATATAAATATAAGCAGCGCATGGTACCTGCAAGTCATTACCGTGTTTTGGGATTTGGCATCCTTCACTAGTTCCACACAATCAAATGGCTTCCAGCGTATGTACAGTCACCTGGGATCTTACCGACTTATTAATCAGTCACTTAGCAAGTTCGTGACATGGAAGGGATAAGGCGAAGTGGCACAGAAGATTTATAGATCTTAGGTAGAACGTCCATTCGTGGCTTAACATGCCTTTTGATGTCAGTTTCTGCATTATACATTATCAATGAAGCCCTGATGAAGTAGGTCTTTTAGACTAGTAATGATTTGTTCGGTCTTCCGACAAACTATCAGACTGCGTGTCATCCACAGTAAATATCAGTCTATCAAAACCGTAAAGTTCTTCAAAAACAGCGCATCTCTAATTACCTTTCAAAAAAAGATGACGTGTCTTCCATCGTCAGCCACCGCTGGAACACGGCACACACGTAGACGTTTGATGCCGTCTAACTAAAGTTTGTTTAACTACACGTGTGCTGATTAGCTCAGTGAAAGACCGGTTGTCTCCACTCTCCAAGACCAACGTCAGTTATCAAAAGAAACCATCAGATGAATGTCTCTAGACTTCGACGACAGAGCCACACAATATTCCCAAGCTGTAGTCTGACGATATATTGTGGAGCGATCGGCCCCCAGGATATTTGGAATGTATTGCTGTCCATTTCCAATTTCAATGATGTGCGGTTTTTAAGCTCTTGAACTTGATAAAGGTCAGTAAACAAGTCCACGTTTGAGGCAAACAGTATATTGAGGATAAAAATTCAGACGAAAGTGAAGCGCGGTTGAGTCTACCTGGGTTTCATAGGCAGTGGATCAGCTTCGTAAAACTGTGACAGTTGTTGTTCCATGTCCTCCTCGGACATCGGCCCAAAACGATCCGGTTGGGACTGCATCACCTGGAAAATTGCAGTCAACTGGTCTTTACACACGCGCCTCTCCTCTTCCACCTCCTCCCGGCTGAGGGAGTCCAGAACGTGAGAGTGCAGATGCCGCACGGCTGCTGTTCTTGACGGGCACTTTGTCAGCTCCTTAACATAAGACGCTGAGATAAGGGATAGACAAGAAAATTTATAAGTGTAACCAACGCGAAACGATCACGTTGATAGGAAATGAACCAAGAACGAGTAAGGTCAACGCCGCTAAAGAGCTATATTAAGGAGAATTTTCGAAGGATATCTCAATGACCCAATGAAATATGGATGACAGCACATTGCACCCAAATACAAATCACGAAACAAAGTGCAAATAATAGCACCACTCCCTTAGGAGCTTTCAAACTACGAAAGGCAGCTGAAAGCTTATGAGAATGTGACGTGGCGTCTGAGGACATGGTTTGCGGATCTAGTTTACTGGGCAGCCGTGTTTCTGGACAGTGGTACCGCCAGCAAAATGAGCACAATGACCCAAATAATCTACCATGCTGTTTTCAGCTCAGGGCGTAATTGTGACGTAACATTAGCCTCTCGGTGAAGAATATGTTCTATCAAACCATGAGTGTCCACCACTGTTTTGTGCTAGCTAACGTTGGGAAAAAGGGATTGTCTGTCTCCGAGAGGAGACGCATCGTGTGAGCATTGAAGCATGTGCAATCTGCACGTGTAACATGGCGGTAAAGCAGTCAGGCACCGGTGTCCTCACACTGACGTGCGCTGTCGTTACGTTGTGGCATAGATGGGTAGCTGTCACACGACGAGGAGCAAGGGCGAGAGCGAAATGAACCAAGGACGAGTAAGGTCAACGCCGCTAAACAGCTATATTAAGGAGAATTTTCGAAGGATATCTCAATGACCCAATGAAATATGGATGACAGCACATTGAACCCAAATACAAATCACGAAACACACGACGAGGAGCAAGGGCGAGAGTCGACAAGATCATCAAAGCCCAAACAGAGGCAACGGAGAAAGCAAAGGTTGGGTTCGAACTTTCCTGTCAGTAGTTTAGCGTCTTAACTACTGGGTCATCGCGATAT